AATACCGCGAAAAGAGCTCAAATTTTAATAAAAGTTATGCGTGACATATCAAAATCTATATTGAAAACCCATCAGGTAAGTAATCTCAGCTAAATCAACTAGCCAGTAGGGAGGGTAGGTAAGAAAACTCGGATAAGAAAATTCGATATTTTTTAATTAACTTTCCTGATTGTTGGCATTTATAGACATAGTTATACTCTTATGGTTTTTATCCACGAGTGGAATAGCCGCGTAAAGACAAATGCCCTAAATTGTGTAAGCTACGGTACTCTATGCGCAAGACAGACGCAATGACGACAGACGCATGGGACCGACAGACGCATGGACCGACAGACGCATGGCACCGACCAGACGCATGGACGCGACAGACGCATGGAGCCGACAGACGGATGGACCGACAGACGCATGGGACCGGACCGACAGACGCATGGACCGACGACAAGACGCATGGGAACGACGACAGACGCATGACGGCGACCGACAGACGCATGGACCGACCGACAGACCCATTGGACGAGACGACAGCCGCATGGACGACCGACAGACGCATGAGGACCGACAACGCATGGACGGACCGAACAGACGCATGGACGCGCGACCTGGACCGACGCAAGCATGGACCGGACGACAGACGCATGACGACCGACAGACCGCATGGACGGACCGTACAGGACGCATGGACGGAACCGACAGACGCATGGACGGACCGACAGCGACGCATGACGGAACCGACAGACGCATGCGGCGCGGACCATGGAGCGACAGAACGCCATGGACGGACCGACAGACGCATGAGAGACGCAGGACGCACAGGACGCATGGACGGACGACAGACGCATGGACGACCGACAGACGCATGGACGGACCGACAGACGAATGGACGGACCGACAGACGCATGACGGACCGACAGACGCGGACGAGAGACGCCATGACGACCGACAGACGCATGGACGGACCGACAGACGCATGGACGCGACCGGACAGCGCATGGAACGGACCGACGACGCATGGACGAGACCGACAGAGCATGGACGGACCGACAGACGCATGACGGACCGACCCAGACGCAATGACGGAACCGACAGACGCATGGACGGACCGACAGACGCATGGACGGAGCGCAACGCTGAAGGACGACAGACGCAATGGACGGACGAACAGACCGCATGGATGACGACAAGACGCAGGAGGAACGACCGACCATGGACGGACGACAGACCGCATGATGACGGACGACAGAGCGCACTGGACGGACGACAGGACGCATGACGACCGACAGACGCATGGACGGACCGACAGACGCATGGACGGACCGACAGACGCATGGACGGACCGACAGACGCATGGACGGACGACAGACGCATGAGGACCGAAGACGCTGACGACACAACAGAGAGGTTATTTGTCAACTAATTTTCCGTTGCAGCCCTACAAATGTTTCTGACTACACACGAAGAATTTTACTACACATAGGGACAAGATTTGTCCCACTTTCTCTGAACCAGGGCGCAGCAATAACGGTTTTTTCGCCACATCCACAGTTTTCCGGCGCAGATTACACCACTTTCTCTTTATGCATGTAAAAATCGGCACGGACGTTGGCGTGCAGTGAGCTCTAATATAAGTTATAAATTTTGTGCGGGATTTTAACGATTTTGTTTTATTTTCGCTTAGAGAATGCATTTAGTATTGAAAATTTATTTTATGTTCTGACAAAACGAAATTACCGTTTTTGTGTTTTTGCGTTTTTTTGTCGAATTCTACTAATAAGTCATTTTAATGCATTTTTCGCTGATTTTAGTCGATTTTAATATCATTTTAATGGTATTGCTTCAAATAATTTAACGGCTGCTAGAAATGTTGCTCCCCCCCCCCCCACAGAATTCCTTAGAAGCCTCTTCGACGTTTTTGCTCAGAATTCCTATGCCAGACGTAACCTAACGATTACATATAACGCTATTAACACTATGTCGACTGAGCCGCTTCGGGATAAAAAAGAACAGATGTTGTCTGGAAAGAACAGGTCCAAGTGCGTTTTAAGTAAGTTCTATGAAGATTGCACGGCTGAAATGTTCAGTGATATTGTAAGTTTGTAGACTTTGTATTATTGTTAAGTTTTATAATGATTAAGTTGTGTATTCTACCACACAGTTCTCACACTTAATTGCAGAATTATTAATAAATCTAATCTAATCTTAAAACCAAAAATTTGAAAGATGAGTTCACTTGAAACGAAAGGAAGAAGCCTCTATTACATATCCAACGACCTGAGTTGTTCAGTCTGAACTGGTTTCGTTCACATTTTTTCCGCCTTTTCCTTTGCTTTAGAGCATTTTTGTTGTTCATTTGCTATGTGACGTTTGAGCTCCTCCCCCTGGACCCTGTGTTGATTGCGAGCGGTCGCGCGTTGCAGCTGCGCGCTGTACTTCCCTGTTGGTGTGACGGCGCTGTAACGGCGATCGGCCAGAGAGGCCGCGAGGCGGCCGAGCGCGCGCTGGGCGGCTCCACGCCGCCCCCCGCCGACGCCCCTCGCAACGCGCCCGACGCCGCGCCCCGCCGCCGCCTCACGCCCCCCGGCGCCCGCGCGGCGACGCGCGGACCCGCGCTCTGAGGTGGGTTTCTTTCATGCATCATCATCATTATCATCACTATTATTATATCATATCATTTACTATCATTATCATTAATTATCATTATTAATAGTATTATCATCATTATCATCATCATTATCATTATTATCATTATCATTATTATTATTATCATTATCATCATTATTATTATCATTATTATTATTATTGTTACTTATTACTATCAGTATTATTATCATCATTATTGCTGGCGTATAGGCCATTACTGACCACGCTACAGGATTAACTTGCGTAATCGTGTAATACAGCTTTTAAGGTGTATCCCTGTGTCCATCAATCCATTAAGTCGGGGCTTGAAGCGACACCCTCGAAAACAGTACCTTTTTCCGAGGGTGCCACCTGAAGCAAGTTGCCTCACCTGCCCTTCCCGTTAAGATATCATGGCTTCTCATGGTTCACATCCGTGTAACTATATTTAAAAAACTAAATATATACCGCAAAGCACGGAACCACGAAACGCTCTCGATCACAGCTCGCCACTTAACAGCACAAGAACTGGAAACACGTGCACCAGTACGCATCATACATTCAGAACTCGGTTTTCAAATAAACATAATACTTATCACACAAAAACTATCATATATCACTAAGTAAATTCAATGTAATATTTGTTTTTAAAAAAGGATTTTTTACAGAAGAGAACACAACACTACAGTTCCTAATTTCAATTATTTCTCGTGACGCACTATATTTACGGCGGAAGAGAGCACCACAAAAGGAAGGAGCGAACCCATTTACAAGTTAGCCAACTACAAACGAACGAATGGAGGAATGAGAGTCCAATGAGATCAAGGACACAACGAACACAGAACCGTCAGTTACGTTGCAGCTGTCAAAACGGTTCTTTATTTATTTGTTGCGTCTACTTAAAAGCTACGCGATTCCAAGCACCAGGGGGCAGTAGGTTTGCAGGGGGTAGGGGGCTTATATCAAACTTAAGTTTCGCCTACCCTTCCGCCTTAACACCGTAGAACACCCAAATCTAAAATTTCGAATTATCCAAACAATTCATAACGGTGGAAAAATAAACATAATTAAAATGCTTATTTGTAGTGTAAAGAAATGTTTTATAGTTACTGTAGATCTGATCAACTAATTAATGAAACAAGTTGAGGAAATGAAACATTAATTGTTCTGGTAACTACCGTGTATATCACATTTTTATGTAGCAGAAATTTTCACTTAGAGGAACTTGCAAAATCGGTCATCTTTTTTTTGCCGTAAGAAACTAACACTGCTTGATTATGCGATGTGATGAACTACGCTACGTTGAACTTACGTTGAACTACGCTAAGTTACTTTCTTACATCGCCAGCTACGTTACATTGTCTGCTAATCCTATAGATGTATTTGTATTTGTACGGTACATTTTTTTTCGGACAATCCGAATATTTCCGAATTCGAACAGAACACACACACAATTAGTTCGGAATACCGGGTTTCTACTGTACATTAACCGAATTTGTTTCTCCATGGAACAGCAGTGATGCATGCAAGGGGGAGGTGAATCATAGTGTTGCAGTGCACCCCACCCCACCCCCGTTCCAGAGGCCAATGATACATTGCTTTTCCTGTTTTTTATACTACCAAAAGTTATTCAAAACATCAATTGCTTATATTATACATATTAACTTTAAGTCAGCAAATAAACATGTAATTTTTATTCAGCATATGTGAAAAATTCTTTAGAAGAAAGCATCAAGTCGGCCGGATTTTTAATTACAATATTATATTTGAATCATTTCGGGACATCGGAAGTAAAAAGTAAATAACAAATCAACAGATCAAACCATAATTAACAAAACCATTACCACTCATAAAATATCTAGTAATCGATCCATCTCGATAAGGTTTTTCGTCGTTTCCTTGATCCTTTGAGCAAATGTTGGAATGGCCCCTTGTTTTACCACTAGACATAAATTTAGCCTCCCAAAGAGGTTTTCCTGGGCACAGTGTGGAATGCAAGTACTCAAGTCAGTCTTCCTACATGTTCTCGTGGTTGAAAGTCGATGAAGGGCACGATAAGGGATGGAGGTATTTGGCATTTTAGGGTCGCGTTAATCCGAATTATGCGAGCCATCGGTGTTCTCAAGCCTCAGCCCTGTTCTTATTTATTGTCCATGCCACGGGGTAAGGGACACATGTGGCTTACATGGCCTGTCTCTAGTTTTTGTTTTCGTCACGCAGATAGAGAAACTGAGACGATTTGTATTAGAAAGCTACAGCTTCATTTCTGTCCGGCCGGATATCGAACCCGGAAAGCCTCAGAGAAAGCTAGCACCAGGGACATATCTAGCCAATCAATTGGGGGGGGGGTGATAGATATTTTTTAAATAATTAAAATATTTGTTATTATATTGTATATTATATTAGAGGATATACAAGATAAAGTACAATATTATTTTTTAGAATATTACGTAATTTTAACATAAATATTTGAATTAATTTTTCCACATAATGGAAGGTAACAAACGAAAACTCTAGACCTTTTTTCGGGGGGGGGCACGGCCCCAATGACCCCCCCCCCTTGAATCCACCGCTGGCTAGCACGCTGTCCACGAACCACCTGAGGGAAATGATAACGGATATTTACCAACATCTGTAGCTGATTGGCCTCTGCCAATTTTTTTTATTACAGGAGAGTTATTTTTTATCTACCAATTCAGGCCAAAAACCAAACGTTGCTACCGTTGTTCATAATTCAACATAATATGCAAATTATGAATTAGGGCAGAGACCCCAAAGCTTAAGAAACCGTGCAGAGATTGCGCTTCTGTCCATTGTACACCACACACTTTTTAACTGCTTTTGATGTTAAATAAGGAATGGATTAGGTTTCAGTTACCACAATGCACAACTTTTTACAATTACCAATATCATAATACACTTATCTGCAGATTATAAAGATAAAACACTATTATTATGCATAGTATGGAGCAGGAATCATGGGACGCTGTTTAATAGTGCTGTTGATACAAATGACAAACTTCTTTGAAATACTTCATTTCCCTTTAGCACGTTCATTCCTCGTTAAAAGAGAATTAAACGTTTTTCATGTAAAATCAAGACGCGGATAACACGAAGCATTAAATCAAATAAAATGAACGTACTCATTTCACTTCTAAAAACAACATATCTGATAATTTCCATGACTTCCGAAAATTCAAAAGCATTTTAAGGAGAGACATAGAGAAAGCACAAATTATGAGCAATGGCCAAGATATTTTGTGCGCTAATAATCAAACTAGTGCAATGTGGAATATCATATAAAATACGACCGCATTATCTAGACACTTTGTAAAGAGAAATTAAGGACAATGAAATAAATTTTAAAGGATAATGAGAGAGGTAAACGATCCGACTAAAGCCACCAGTCTATTCAAGCAACACTTTAAAAGAATTATGATGTCTAAAGACTGAAAATTCAATATCTGGAGTTTCAAAGAAAATATACGAAAAATAATTCATTGTTCGTTGTATGTAAGTACAATCCTCAGAACATGCGTCTCTGTAGTGAGATTGCAATCAGTTTTGAACCATAAAAATATTTTATATTTCAAAATTAACTTCATTAAAATAAATTGCCTTTCGTCAGTGAGTGATATGCCTAAATGAAGATGAAAAATAATTGTTTTTTACTCCATATGACGTATGTTTGGCTAAAGTTAATGCGAATGTCTTTACAGAGTTAACCGATAATTTTAATTGACTTAGGCCGAAAAGACGGCCTATGTCCGTAAAGTGTAAGTTTAGAAATGAATGCGCTCAAACACTTTCATTCACTAAAGAATTAAACCTTTGTTTATGCTACCAAGAATAAC